CCAGAACCTTGTCCTCACCGCCAGGAACCTTGTCCTCACCGCCAGGAACCTTGTTCTTACCGCCAGGAACCTTGTCCTCACAGCCAGGAACCTTGCCCTCACCGCCAGGAACCTTGTCCTCACCGCCAGGAACCTTGTCCTCACCGCCAGGAACCTTGTTCTCACCGCCAGTAACCTTGTACTCACCGCCATAAACGTTGTGCTCACCCCAAGGAACCTTGTCATTACCGCCAGGAACCTTGTCCTCACCGCCAAGAACCTTGTCCTCACCGCCAGTAACCTTGTACTCACCGCCATTAGGCTTGTCCTCACCGGCATTAGCCTTGTCCTCCCCGCCAGGAACCTTTTACCTTTTCCTCACCGCAAGGAACCTTGTCATCACCGCCAGGAACCTTGTCCTCATCGCGAGGAACCTTGTCATACATACATACATACATCAACTTTATTTAAACACGGAAAATCATCAGTATAGTTATTTACAAAAATATTAAAATATTTTAAAAGGAGCAAAAAGAAATATAGATACTGTTCTACCTGATTGCCGTGTGGGAGTCAGATCGATTATTTATTAAGAAGGCTTCTAAACCTGTCTTAAATGCAGCGAGAGAAGTTACTGATCTAAGAGATTCTGGCAGGCCATTCCATAAAGAGGCTCCACTGTAACTGAAGGAGCGTTTCAAATAATCTGTGCGTGGTTTTGGGACGTAAATTTACCATAAGAATCTCTCAGGTTATAAACACTCTCACTGGGAGAAAACATCTCTTGTAAATAGAATGGTGTATGTTTATTAATAGTATTAAGCATGAGGATTGCCTTTTGCTTTAATCGCTTAGTGGACAATGATTCCCAATTAAGTTCTTCAAGAAGAGAACTTGATGAAATATCATAAGATGAACGGGTAATAACACGGGCGGCCCTATTCTGTAATTTTTGTAATTTTTCGCTTTGCTTTTTACCTAGGCCATCGCAAACAGGGGCACAATAGGAAAAATAGGGCTCCACCAAACTTTGGTAAACTCGAATTGCAGTTTCTGTGGTAATAAAATCTCTCATTCGTTTGAGAGCACCGATACCCAAAGAGACTTTTTTGGTGATATTATCAACATGATGTTTCCAAGTCAAGTTCTCATCAATTGTTAAACCTAATGACTTAGACTTCAGCACTCTATTAATCTGTTTATTGTTAACACATACTTCCACATTCTGATTATCAAAGGTTGAAAGTCTTTGACGAGATCAAATAATCATAAATTCAGTCTTGGCAATATTT